TTTGTATTTGTATTGATGCAATAGCATAGGGTAATCATACAACAGACAAAAAATAATGAAAAACCTAAAAAACCATAAAAGTGATAAGAATAAACCAACTTTATCTCGGACAGTCTTCAGTTAAGCTAGCCTGGTTTCAGGTTCTTTTTAAGCTAAGTAGTCATGTTGACCGATAGAAGAAATAAAGGGTCATAAAAAATGTAAAAAACAATTAAAACAATAAAATACCTCTTACAATAAAAAGATTTTTGACAAAAGTCTTATGATTCATACAATATTTTTTTCATAAAAATAAAAAGAGAAGAAAATAGGACTCTCTTCATCAAAATTCATAAACATTCATATAGATAGTTTCCTTTTTAAGAAAAAACCAAGCACTATCATGTATCATACTAGGAATAAAACATGATAATACTTAGAAAAAACAAACACTTGCATGCATGCATTTACAAAGACTCATCCTCATATCATGCATTTTCATTTCTTTTAGATAATGGAGGGATCCAGTAATAGACAGTTAAAGAAAGTGAAAATCCTTCTATGTCGTGTAGAGAAGTTAAGGCAGTTGTGTACATATATGCCGCCAGAGGTCAGTGCTAATTTTGAGAAATCTTATGGAAGGATTCTTGACCTCCTGAAAATCAGCATCGATCCTATCTTTGTTAGAGCATTGGTCCACTTCTGGAATCCCGACCTGCACTGTTTTGAGTTTTCGCAGTTCGATTTAGTACCAACCTTAGAAGAATATGAACTCATGGTTAGATGGCCTCAGTCAGTCGGGGTCTATATCTGCTCAGGAGTATATGTTGTTGTGAATAAGGTTGCTACTATTATACGATTGCCTCCTCATCAATCCATCCTAGAGGGAAAAGGGAACATCCGAGGTTGGAAAATGTCAATAATAGAAGACCACTTAATCTCTTTGGCTGAAAAGAAAGATTGGTCAACCTTCAACAAAACTCTAGCATTAGCAATGTTTGGAATCATATTATTCTCATTTCATGTGAACGTTGTGGATCATGCTGCAATAGATGCATTCTTTGCCTGGGATGTATACTCTAAGAGTCCTATACCTGCAATTCTCACTGATACCCTGATTTTAGTAGATTTTTGTCGACAGAAACAGGGGAAAACACTTCGATGTTGTACTTCATTACTATATGTATGGGGCATTACTCATTTCTACGCTTCAAGCTACATGGGCATATTCCCTGATCCTTTAAGAAGTTTTGCAAAAATCCCTCTTCAACATCACCAAGCTTTAGAATGGAAAACCGAGTTGGAAAATTGGAAAATAGAGCATGTATCATGGGTTTGTCCTTGGTTCCTACCTGGTTATATTCTTATATGATGTGGAGATTACCTGAGCATACCATTACTAGGCCTCAGGGGTTGCATAGCTTACTCTCCCAAGATAGCTATGAGACAACTCATGAGAACCCAAAGGGTGCCAACTCAAGAAGAGCTCAGAGGGCTGAGTCTATGCCATTACTCCCATAGCTTTGAAGAAGTATCTGCTGTCCGGAAAGCATGGGAAAGACTAGTCTATATAGGAGATGAAAAACTCAGAAAGGTTCAGGTATCTACATCCCATCAATATGAGGAATGGAGGAAAAGTAGAAGGATACCCCAACCATCTGCTACATTCACTACAACATTAGTCAATGAAGAGCTACAATTGCAGGTCAATGCCTTAAACCAAAGGGTAGAAGTAATGGAAGCTCAGTTAAGGGCTTTTGAAGAAAAAGAGCAAGAATCAACCCTTATAATAGATGGTTTAAAAAGGCAGTGTAAAAAGAAGGACCATGAAATAGAGCGCCTTAAGAATGATTGTGCTGATTACCAAGAAGAGACTAAACAAGCATTGAAAATTCCGAAGCTTGAACAAGATAGTCTATTTCGGGACATGAATGACGAAATAACACATCTTGAGAGTGTGCTTGCAGAACAGGCAAAAACGATCAAGTTAATACAAGATGACCTAGCAGAAACTCAGTCAGAAGCACAAAAGTGGTGGGAAACCGCTGAAAGATACAGAGAAAGCCTGGATGAGCTACATGATAAAGAAAGAGATGGATTAGCTTAATATGGTCAATTACTTCGTGAAAGAGACCAAGTAATAGAGAGGTCTGACCAACAGCAAGCCTTGATCGTTCATCAGGAAGAAAAGATAAAAGAGGCTCGTCGATATAGTGAAGATATGAGCCAGGCGGTACATGAGCAAGTTAAGGCGCTCAGAAATCATGTGAGAATAGCTGAAGATGAATTACGAAGAAAGCCTAATTTACCTATAGGATTCTTCAAGCTTCTCTGTTTTTGTCAACACTTGCTTCAAAGCATTGTATAGAAGGATAAACACTTTCTAGATAAAATAAAAAAGGATTATCCTTAAACTGTCTATTGCATTCATAAGTTGCATACATTCATACATCCCTCCTCATTTTAATAATAAAGATAATAAAAAGAAAGGATTAATTGATGTGCTTTACACAAATCAGAATAAATGGAAAAGAAGCCTTTCGTCATCAAAATCTCTACAACGGTCGATAGACCCAAAGATGATAATAAACAAGCACCGTTGGTCATTCCAATTGATAAAAGGGAAGAGGCAATAACGCCTTTACGTTTATTCAGGTCTCATCCTTTCCTTTATTCATCAAATAAAGTTGTACCTTGGAGATACTCAGAAGAATCACCAGTTAATCAAGATATCTCCAACATAGCCGGTATTGGGGGCATGACTAGAAGCGGAAGAATATACTCCTCCAAAGAATTACAAGATAATATTCCTAAAGAGAAGACAAAAAATAAGGCCGAAGAGGAAAAAGAATCCAAGGAGGAGACAGATGAGTTACTCCAGTACATAAGACAAAGTGAGTACTCCAACATTGATCAACTCAATCGCACTCCTGCAAAGATAACTTTGTTATCACTTATAATGAGTTCGGAGCTGCATCGAAACGCACTGTTAAAGGTTTTGAATGAATCATTCGTTCCGCATGTAATATCCCAAGACAAGTTTGAAGGAATCATTGATAACATTACAGCCAATGATCATCTTACCTTCACAAATGAAGAACTCCCTATAGAAGGGTCAAATCACAACAAGCCCTTGCATATTTCTGTTAAATGCAAGGAATATCTCATTTCCAAAGTTCTTGTGGATAATGGGTCATCCTTAAACGTTATGCCTAAATGCACACTTGAAAAGATAACAGTGCAAGGAACCCACATGCGCCCGAGTAATACAATTGTTCGAGCCTTTGATGGATCAAGACGTGAAGTAGTAGGAGAGATTAGTCTACTAGTCCAAATTGGCCCTACTATTTTTAACATAGACTTCCACGTGATGGATATCACGCCAACATATAGTTGTCTCCTTGGTAGACCTTGGATTCATAGCGCTAAGGCAGTACCTTCAACGCTCCACCAAAAAGTCAAGTTCGTGACAAATGATAAACTCGTCACGGTTCAAGCTGAAGAAGACTTTTTAATTAGCAAACCGTCTGTCCAACCATTTGTGGATGCGGCTGAAGAGGCTCTTGAAACATCTTTTCAAGTGCTCGAAATTGCCAACATAGAAAGACTTCCTAGTAATACAAAGGTGTTCCATATGATGAAAAGATATGGATATCGCCCAGGACAGGGGCGCGGAAAGAATGCTCAAGGAATAAAAGAGCCACCAGATTTCAAAGATAATCCTTTAAAGTATGGTTTAGGGTACGACCCTACAAAAGATCAAACCATACGGAAAACAAGGAAGTCTTACCCCTCAAAGACATTCCGAAAAGGAGGGGTATTAGCCCAATGGGTAGCGTTAGTCATTAGGTGTCCTTCTTCCAATTCTAAGGGATGTAAACCTAGTGACTATTAGAGATCACTCCTCCGGGTATGCCCGGCCCCCGAGCATCTCTAGGGAACACATTTCCCCGAAATTACAAAAGAATACTATTCTTACTATCTGCTTCTTTTCTTACTAAATATGTCTATACCCCATTTTAAATAAACAATGTTTGGATAGACGTTTTGTTCTAAATGCGTCAAAACGATCAAAGCGTCATAAAACAAAGTCAAATGCAATTGATTAACTAGAAACACGAAAAAATCCATCTCGATAGAATCAAGTTTCGACAATGTTGTGCAAAAAAAAAATATATACATATAAAAAAAGGAAGAGCCCGTCAAGGCCAAAGGCCAAGACAAGAAAATAAAAGGGCAAAATACCCGGCAGGAAACCCACAAAGGGGGCTGCACAAAAGTTAGGGTAAACCCGGCAGGAGGCCCGAACAATAATAAAGGGTAGCCTGGGCAAAAGTTAGGGTTACAAAAAGTCCGCTAGGTATTCCTAAAAATAATACAAAAAGGAAACCTAGACAAAAGTTAGGACATAGCACAACATCCTAGACTGAAAACCTGAAAAGGCGGGCTAGGAAAGTTAATTAATCACAAAAAGGCGCCATAAAGCAGTAAACAAAGACGCCACGTTATAAGAACAAAACGTTTGTCTAAAATAGCCCAAACACCGACCAACCTTGAATAGCCATTCTTACAGAAACCACTTTACAAAAATATATCCCTCTAAAACACAAGCCTTTGTTATAAATCCTTTTCTTTCTTTTCTCTTGACCATTTCACTATAAAGCATTCAAGTGATAAAGGGGAATGTGGAAACATAGTGATCAATAGGAAGGTTGAAATCCCTAAGGAAAGGAAGGGGGGTATTGATATGGCAGTTGCCCCACGAACAAAAGATTGCTCTTCGGCTATAGCAAGAAAAGTCCAAGACGGCAAATCGGTATAGCTAAGCTTGTTGATCAAGAAACATGATGACAGAAAGGTATTGCACCAAGAATGCACCTGAAGTCAAAGCACATCAGTTAAAACTTTCGAAATATTAACTGAAATAGATCATAGGACGCATATCATGAAACATTACATGCATTAAAACATCAATGAATGGAGTCATATCTTCCTTCTCATCAAAAAACATGAAAACCAACTTGAAAAGCTCGAGACAGTTGTCCCAAGGGTCGAGACGGCCGTCCCAAATAGCCAATTTCAAGTGGGACGCCCGTCCCACATTTGAGACGCCCGTCTCAGGGCCAAATTTTGAGTGAGACGGTCGTCCCAAGGGTAAAAATTCAAGTGAGACGGTCGTCCCAACCCAGACGGCCGTCCCGACCCTCCTGGCTCCTCCTATAAATGTTAGGCGCGGATCCTTGCATTTGTACCCCATTCCAAGCATTCTATCTTGCTTCTACTCCCTTTCTACACACCTTTAGCATTCTTAAGTGAGTAGGCACAAAATGCAGCGTGGAGAGGCTTCATCTAGGAGAAAACGCACCAGGACCTCCGCTAGAGGAACTCCTGTCACCAACACCTTGCTGGCAGAACCACATCGACAGAGATTGGCAAATATCCAACAATATTCCTGGCATCCCATGCTACGTTTGGATTTTGAAATCCTAACTACATTCGGCTGGGATCAAGATGTTAGACGGTTCATCCAAAACATAGGATGAGATTTTTTGCTTCGTGAGCCACCCGCTCTAATCCACCGTACTGCCACGCTGGAATTCCTTGCCTCCGTCAATCTGGTGGAGATGCCGTCCATGACTCCTAGAGTGCCACCTACTCAAGCTGTTTCCTATTGGATGGATGGGGCATACCAGACCACTTTTCTAGATGACTTTAATGTCATAATGGGTTTCTACCAGCGAGCAGATACAAGAACGCCAGAATATAAGTCGGCATACTATGAGAAACCTGCTGCTCTCACTACCACCAGCATGTGGAAAGAAATCACCAGAGCACATACCCTGCCATCACATTTGAAGGGTGCAACTTTTTCTCCTCCGCTCCGCATATGCCACAAATTGCTAGCCGGGACCATACATAGCCAGAAGGAGAGCCAAGGAAAGGTAACTCTGGCTGATCTTTTCATTGTCTATTGTATGCATCAGGGGCATCGATGCAACCCAGGGTATGCCTTCCTGAAAGCCTTAAAGGATTATGGCACTCGTGGCTCAACAGGAGCTATCATGGTCGCTCCCTTTCTCACCCCTTTAGCTGAATAGTGGGGATGTACTGACGGAGAGGACATTCCAACTAGCCTCCAACCAGAACCGATTAATGGGGGAACACTGGTCCACATGAACATCCTTAGTCGACAAGGATCAGGATTTATTTTAAACCCCATAATCTCGATTTCACTAGATATGCGTGATTTCGACACACCACAGGATATCCCTGCGACTTCGGAGTCCCAGCAGCAATCATATGATCCAGACTTCGTCGGCTTATACCGACGTATGGATGATGAGCACGCCTACATGAAAGGGCAGTTCCAGTTCATGCGACAGCAGTTCAGTCAACTGACCATGAGGCAGGAAAGGACGGACCGCCAAATAGAAAATATGGTCCAGACTCAAGCAAGGTTCCAGTGACGCATGCTCCGCCGCATCCCTTCACCAGCACCATCCTCCCACTCCAGCCCAGAAGCAGAGGATTAGGATGTTTTTAGATATTTTCTATTAGTCTAAGAATGCTTGAATGTATCACCCGAAAAAAAAAAAAGGGGAAGTAATAAATAAAATATTGTTATTTCTGTTTACATTCCAAAAGCCCACGTGTACAAAAAATTATTATAAAATAAAAGGGCACACGTGATATATCAAAAAACCAGATTTCAAATAACTCGCGAGAAAAATCAAAATCGCGAATGAAAAAGGCGAAATCAAAACCATTTCAGCAGAATAAAGAGCTTCAAGGAAACTAGCTCTAACCTTCTACCCCAATAAACGAAGGTACACCAGAAAAAGGCCAACGGAAAGGCTCGATGATCCCCAAATGGATCCTTGCCTACTCCAAAGGCAAAACAAAAAATTACTTCATGACTCAGCACCACCACATGAGTCGTCAAAAAGAGTCATTTGAAGCTTCAATCAACATCTTTCCATCCAAGAAAAAGGAAGTCATCAACATGAAAAAGCTAACGGAAAGGCTTGATCATCCCCAAGCGGATCCTTGCCTACTCCAGAGGCAAAACAAAAAGATTACCTCACGACTCAACATCACCACATGAGTCAACAAGCATACTCATCCAAAATATCTGCCACATTCCCCAAAGGAGAATAAGGACTACACAAAGATCAACCAAAGAAGATATGAAGTCAAAAATCTCCATATCCCTAGGGGTTCAACAAAAAGAAAGAAAAGAAAAACCTTTCATTCCCCAATAGAGGCCACGAAAAATGCCAAATAAATATCTCCAAGTAGAGCATTTCAGAAAAATCTACAAAATGGGGGAAATGAGAAAATTCTCATCCCGCTCAATAAAGAGCTTCACAAAAGTCAGGAGCTCAAGACTCCATCATCATAAAAAAAAAATCAAATCAAAGTTGGATCCCCAGGAAGCCAACGAGCTCCTTGGTGGATCGCAAAAAAAAAAAAAGAGAAAAAAGAAAAAGAAGAAAATCTCTTCATCCCCAGCAGATAACAAAAAAGTCGGCGTGCATAAAAGAAAAAAAAAGGGCGCACGCATTCAAAATCGAAAATTTTCAAAATCGCAAAATCGCGAGAAAAAGATAAAAACCCATTCCCCAGCGGAATAAGAGCATAGGCAAAGCTAGCTCAAAACAGCACCATCCAACAAGGAGTCAAAAACTCCATTCCTCCCTAGGGGGCAAGTCAAAATAGATCTCCAGGAAAGCAATCAAATCCCCGATGGATCATCAAAAAGAAAAAACTATCCCCAATGAGCCTATCAGCAAAGGCAAAACTACAAATCTATATCCTCAGGGAGTTAATTGCCTATAACACCCAATATGGATATCCCCAGTGGAATGCAAAGCCTTCACCACTATTGAAGCATCCACCTAATCAAGAGGCACAATCAATAGAAAAGCCCGAAACCACAAATCCCCAAGGGATTATTGCCTAAAATAAAAGGCAACCAACAATAAATCACTAGTAAAACTGGATGGCTAGACAAAAAAGCCAAAAATAAGAAATCACCGGTAAAACCGGATGGCTAAACAAAAAGCCAAAAACAAGAAATCACCGGTAAGACCGGATGGCTAAAAAGAAAAGCCAAAAACAAAGAATCCTTGGTAAAACCGGATGGCTAAACAGAAAAGCCAAAAATAAAGAATCCCCGGCAAGACCGGATGGCTAAAAAGAAAAGCCAAAAACAAAGAATCCCCGGCAAGACCGGATGGCTAAACAGAAAAGCCAAAAACAAAGAATCCCCGGCAAGACCGGATGGCTAAAAAGAAAAGCCAAAAACAAAAAATCCCTGGCAAGACCGGATGGCTAAACAAGAAAAGCCAAAAACAAAAATCCCCGGCAAAGCCGGATGACTAAAACAGAAAAGTCAAAAAGGAAAAATCAAACCACTCCCCATGGAATGGGCGCATGATCGAAGACAGTAAACCGCCAACACATCTCCAAAAACCGGATGAGGGTTTGTACTCATCAACCATAAGATTGAATGCCAAAAAAGAGAGCATCCCAAGAGCCTTATAGAATAGGGTTCGTACCAGGTGGGGGTAGGTACCCACAAGAGCCTAATAGAATAGGGTTCGTACCGGGTGGGGGCAGATACCCACAAGAGCCTTATAGAATAGGGTTCGTACCAGGTGGGGGTAGATACCCATAAGAGCCTTATAGAATAGGGTTCGTACCAGGTGGGGGTAGGTACCCACAAGAGCCTTATAGAATAGGGTTCGTACCAGGTGGGGGTAGGTACCCACAAGAGCCTTATAGAATAGGGTTCGTACCGGATGAGGGTAGGTACTCATCAGAATCTAGCAAAATGCAGATTCATACCAGGTGGGGGTAGGTACCCACCAGAGCCTTATAAAATAAGGTTTGCACCGGATGAGGGTAGGTACTCATCAGAATCTAGCAAAATGCAAATTCATACCAGGTGGGGGTAGGTACCCACTAGAGCCTTATGGAATATGGTTCGTACCTGATCAGAATCTAGCGAAGAGCAGATTCATACCTAGTGGGGTAGGTACCCACAAGAGTCTAGTGAAATGGAGAATCATACCTGGTGAGGGTAAGTACTCACCAGAGCCTTATAAAAGAAGGTTCAAACCAGATAGGGGTTGGTACCTATCAAAAGTATTTTTCATCCGGAGGATCAATAAAAACTTCAAGCAAAGGAGCATCCGAAGGACAACCGGGCAAAAAGGGTTAACTCCTTCACCTACCAACTAACTTTGTGGGCACATTAGGCCAACAATTAGTCAGGCAGGTGAAGGCGGGGCAGCTATAGACCCCTAATTTTGCCCGGCCTCTCAATAAAGGCCAAGAAGACTTCCTATCTGAAGATAAAGCTTCGATGGACGTCTATCGACATCAATCGATGTCCGAATAAAGAAAGGAAAGCCTCCCGGGAGTCCCAGAACACAAAATCTGGCCAAAACAGTCGAGATGGTCGTCCCAAAAGTCGGGATGGCCGTCCTAGTCAGCCCAGACGGCTATCCCACATGCCAGACGGTCGTCTCAGCTAGTTTTCTTGCTTGGGACGGCCGTCACAGATCCCAGATGGCCGTCTCGGCCTCCCCAGATGCCCATCCCTGTTTTCTGCACTCTAGACGGTCGTCCCGAGCTGTCAGGCTGCGAAAACTATAAATAGGAAGCTCATTTGAGCATTTTTCACACTCCAGACACTTGTCTTCTCTCCCTCTTTCGAATGAACTCTCCGATTGCCTAAAAAAGGTAATAATCGGTTAAGGAATATTATTCCAGCATTCGATTCTTCTTAAAATTTTAGTAAAGTCGATCTTGTATTCGGGGAGGAGAGTCTTTGTAGAGCGGAGGATTGCCAAAACGCATCCTCACAGTTAAAGATTTGCAATACAAAGCTTGCTAGGAGGTTCTTTTCACTTCTCTTCTCTTTTATTGCTTTATTTATTGATTTATGTATGCAATAGAAAATAAAATCATGTAGATAGCCATTTTTAAAATATTGTATAAATAAAATAGGGTAATAGCGTAATTTCTCGTAATCTTTGCTTAATGAATTAATCCGTCATAGGGAACCCGAAAGGGGCGTTGTGGGGTGCTAACACCTTCCCCACACGTAACTAACTCCCTTACCCAACTCTGGTTATAATGGCCAAGTTTGGTTTTTCTTAAAATCAACACCTTTTTATCCTTTTCCAATGTTTATGGTCAAAACATTGGTGGCGACTCCATAAGAACCCTTTTGCGAAAATCTTACTTTTATTAGAG